AAAGAAAAAGTAGATCTTCACTCAAACAATCTCCTGTTAAATTTAACAGCATTTCGGGTTCATTATGGAGAGCGTTTCCAGCTATTTGATAATATTAAGTCTGTAGCGACTGTAGTGTTGTGAGTGTGTAATAGCATACAATGAAGTTCTTGGTGTGTTGGATCAGTACTGGCAGTGTTGGTCGGGGAGCCGGAGAAGGGTTTTATTTGGTTTGTTCCTTTTTGTTTATTAATGTTTTTTTCTTTCATCTCATAGTTTTACTTATTTTACAACCCAATATTTTGCTTTAAATGGAAAATATAGATTACCGTTCAAGTAAGTCTCTGAGTGATTTGTCACGTTTGATTTGACACACTTATTCTGTAATATATTTTATTGCTCTGTATTGCAGAGCAATCATTTTGAATAAGTCCGATGCAGGCAGGGAGAACCCCTAAAACATGCCGGTTAGTTGGCCCTGAGGACCAGGCTTTAGTGTTGACTTCATGAAAGGGACATGAAGGAACATGAGCCAGCAGCTGCAATTAGATGGTTTAAAATGCAGCCTCTTTCTGAGTCTAATAACCTGATTATTTGACTAACATGTTGAAACATAAACTAATTTACGAGGTACAGAACACTAAACTTGGTGGACTGGAATTAATAAGAAATGAGGAAAATTATTCTGCTATGGCATAGTTAAGGTGACAGTCAATGCACAAGAGTCATTAAAATATTTTCCAAAGTGTGCTTTTTGCAGGGATATTTTTCCATTCAGAGATCCTATTATGTATACCATACAGGGGAGGTTTTTGCTCCTTGTGAAACAATAGTTTACAAACTTCATTACATTTTCAAGAAAAAAATATGCCAGGTATTGATTAAAATTTTAATGTTCGATTTGATTTTCATCGTCTAGATTTAATCAATGTTTTTATCATCAAAAAAATTGACGCATTGGAAGGAACAGAAAAGTTTAAAGTTATAATACAGTAATTGGAATATTATTTCAATATGTAACTCCTTTATAGGCTTGTAAGCTTGGCTGAGCAAAGCTTGAAAAGTGTGGAATTGGATTCCAGTATTTTCCAAGGCTTGATGAGTATTCTATTTCCACAAACTCCATCTTTCCATCTATCTTTACCTCTGTACCAATCTGTCTCTAAGAATCTGTTTCATAAAGATCTCTTATAGATTTGTAGTAAACTTTTGTAGTTGATATACAATTGTATCAAAAGCAGTGGAAACTTTGATCATCTTTAACCTCAAAAGATTAAGAACATTTAATACGTGCGGGTGTAGAAACCCGTCTCCTCCTTAAGCACAAATAGATCTGGGACAAACCAGCCCAACCAGAACATTCTCTTTTTAACCATCCATCCAGAATCAAAATCATGCAAGCCCACACCAACATACATGAAGACAGCTTTTTCCCTTTGGCTGTAAAACAGCTGCTGAAGGAACACATCATTCTTCTTCTTCTGCTCCTCCTCCTACATGGAAGCACAACCATTTCCATATTGCAGGTTTTTCAATGTCATAAGAAAGTAAACGACTGTTAAATATATGTACCCTTTAAATCAAGGAATAGATAGAAGTAGAACATCCAGTAGAACAGGGACATCCATCTTTATCTTTATTATTAATAGTATGCTTTGCAATGCTTTTAAATTAGTTTTATTCTTGAGTAAGTTTCAAAGTTGACCATTAGATTAGACTACAATAGTAAAAAAAAATGAATGAATATACCTCTTGCAGAGAGTTAACAGACTGACATTTTACAAAATTTCATATAAAGCTTATAGTATGTAGACAAGACTTTAAGCTCATCATTATCCAGCTTCATTACAGTTCCTCTCAGCCTACTGTCCAGAAAGTGGAAAAATAAATGTTAACAAACATTATAACCTGACAGGAACAGGACATTGAAGTTATTTATGTGACAAAAAAAAAAAAAAATGTCTTCATCATCAGTTGTCATAACAGCTTAAAATCATTTTCTCTGTTTGCCCATGAAATATACATGTTGTCAATGAACAAATTTTTTTGTCTTTGACATTAAACACGCCATAAATTCTTAAAAAGATAAGAAAGCCTGGGAAGTAAAGTATTTAAATAACTGATATGTTAAAAGCACAGTATTTTAATACTTTGAATATAATTTCTGTAGTAATACTTCAAAATAAACATTTTTAGAGAACGTTTCTAAATAGAATCAAACCCTCAAAAGCACAATATCTGAACCTGTGAAAGATATTGTATATTATTGTGGATGTGTTTTGATCCTACACTATAGTACTTCTTCATGAGCAGTTTGAATGTATTTATTATTACCTGACAAAATCGCATAGAAAGCATAGATGTGATGTCTTTGTTATCATTACTCTTGTTCCTGACCCATTTGAAATTATTTATATCGACACAAAGATTTGCTCTCTCTTTTTTGCGAAATATAGAAAAGTAGAATAGAAATGTTTTTTGTAGTCCCACATTGGGGAAATGTATGTGTCCCAGCAGCAAAAGGAATTGCAAATAACAGCAATAATAGAAGTGCAAAAAGAATGACAAAAAAAACAAAAAATACAAATAGACAGTAATATATAGATCTACAGTAAGGGCAAATCTGCAACTCAAATAGCAAAATATGTTAAAGCCATAATAGTTAAAGATAGCATAAAAGGTGTGCAATTGAGTTTGGTGAAAAGTGCAAAATGCATATGTATGTTTTTGCATAAAAACACCATAGACTACTTTTGATTAGATCTCAACCCAGCTCCTCTGTAGTTTAGCTAAGGTCATTATTCTGTTTTAATGTGAATTTTTGCCCGGTCAAGTTTTTTTAACCCTCAACTTGTGTTATAATCATTTGAACCTATTATTTTAACATTTGCAAAAACACTTTTTATAATTTGTTTTCTTACTATCTTAAACATTTCCACCAGGTTTTATAAAATATATAAACCTTGCTTAACAGTAGGGATGTTTCCCCCTTTAGAGGAATACTGTATTTTGTGGTTAGTTCAACTGCTCCATCTAGTGTTCATAAGGGTATAAAATAGTCAGAACACAGCAGCAACTACTGCTGATGCATCATGCAAGATGGGTTTACTTTGAGGTCAAACATCTTAAAGTCTAAACATTCTACTGTAGCACTTAAACTTTCCCAATTATAAATCTTTTATAGGATTTTTCTCTAGACATTGTTTTACAAGCATGATCAATAAATATCTATTTTATGGGTGTTTTACTTAATACAATTAAACTGCAAAAAAAGATCTTTGTAATAAAAAAATCTCTCTAATGCGAATCTTCACCATTGTCTCATCGATATGTTCAGTCAAAGTGGAAATGCCCGAGTAACCAGTTTACACAGAGCATTAACGGATCATTTTACATCATTTTTGTAACATGAGAGCAAAGTCTTCAGGCCCCCAAGAAGGAGGTAGACAGTCGCAGCTCGCATATTTGTTCACTATTCTACATTCTGTTTTTTTCTGTCATCAGCTACTTTCCTCCATTTTTACCAGCAACACAAAGAACAGGCAAAATAGTGTCTGCCAGATCAACACTGACCACTAAATGAATCCTCAATGGCCACTTTACAACTTATTATAATGGTATGTCGCTAATGTCCTGTAATGATCCTTCCTGTTGATGGCCACGCCTCAATGCTTTCTCCTCCACTGCGCCTCTGACAGTTGTCTGACAATGCTTTGAACTTTGGAGAATCAAGTCTCCTCTCCTTTCCCTTAGCAGCATTTTCTAAGTAGTCCAAGTATAAAATCACTGCTGTTTGGCTTATCTACGGAAAAGGATGACTTTTCCCTTGAGAAAATCTGTTTCAGGTAGGCTGTCTTTCCTAATGTTACATTTTAACTGTGCATGTTTAATTCTTTTATGACATACACTGTGGGAAAGTTGATATATTTCTATAAAATTGTTTTCCATACATAAAGGAACAGCAGATATTATACTGAATATTTTGTGTGTATAGGGACATTTACATTAAGACCATCCGTTTTCGAGCCTAATGTTGCTGTCCATGGTGCTGAAATATAGATGATTTCACTTCTCCGTTTTTTTAACCTTTTTTTCTTGTATTTATTTGAGCAAAGCTTTGTGTGTGAAAGGTTTTTTTATAGTAGTTTGATCCATCTAAAATAATTTGCCAATCATGCCCTCCTTCAGGTTGTGGAATTTGTTGTGATCAGTGCTTGTATTTCCGACGGATTCCTAACCGTAAGGTGTGGCGTTTGCATTTATTTGGGAAGTAAAACAAAACATGGCCAGTGTCAATTTTGGTCTTACAACTGTAGATGGCACCATTGGTTAATCTTTGAAATGTGTCCAGTGGGGAGTGAAGGTAGTGCGACTCGTGATGCTTGGAGATGGCGGATTGAACCTTAAAGTATTTTTGCATCTCCTTTATTTTAACTCTCCAGTTATATTCCTCTATTTTTTTTTCTTTTAAATACAGATTTTGACAGACTCGATTTTATAGGACTTACAAAGCCTTTAATTTCCAGATCGTTTTAACAAGTCTGTGTTCTTACTATTTTAATATTCATACTCATATTAATTATAACACTTGTTTTTCAATTTGTCTTAGTTTTTGGATGCTTAAGCCGTGCGTACAGTAATGATTGTTGCTTTCAATTAAACTGGCATCTAAAAATAGCAGAATGTGACTGTCCTTATCGAAATTCTTAGAGCTGTTTGCTCCAACACTTCAAATATAGTATAAATAGAAAATCTGTGATGTTATTTTACCCCTTGTTTGGATTACTTCCTTTCACCACCCACCCTAATTTTCTCTCTCCATGCTTCACATGAAATGTATGTCAGCTGTCAGTTGTGTTGCTTCTGCGCGCACTCTCTGACTTTGTATCTGTGCTATAATCTCTAATATACACACAGACTTGTCCGTCCTCTCCCTCCTCCTGCTCAGTCTTCAGGTTCCTGGATGTGGAGACGCTCTGAGCAGCGTGGCTGGCTGTGTTTGCGCTGCGCGCTCATTTACTGATTCAGTATGGGGCGTTTCCTGCTACTCTTCATGGGGCTGCCTGGTTTCCAGCAACTTGAACAGGAGAAACAAAGAACACAAACGGAATCTCTATAGTGATACATTTATTCTGCTATGAGTTTATAAACGCCTTACCAGTCGGGGAGGATTAAGGGAAGCAGTCACGGAGGCGTCTGCAAACAGGTGTTTCCACCCACTGAGTTTCATTCAGCAGACCGGTTACTATGCATGAAAGCTGCTCTAATTGTAACAGGATGGACACTTAATGACAGTGTTCTTTTTTTTTTCTTGAGTTAGAAAAATTAGAAAAAAACATGCAACGCGGTTTAATTAAAGCATTTTTTATATATATCTTCTTGTGGACAGTCGAATTTCCATGCGTCAAACTTCACTTTTTTCCGGACAATTCCTGAATAAAGCCTGGATCAGTAGAACATGATCCCTTAGGGGGTCATTTCAGCAAGCTGGTTTATTTCCCCCTCGGGGACTATTCCATTTCATTTTCGGTGCACTTTGAAAAATCTTCACCTCTGGCATCGTGCTAGTTGCCTCAGATTGTCTTTTGTCGCTGCGCTTGGACGTTTTCTTGTCAGTGTCAGAAACCACTTTTGCGGATCAATCCACTTTTTTCCTCTGGAAGTTTTCTTCCCCAGACCGCTGCCAAACTGGCTATGGCAGCGGCTATCGCCAGCTCCCTCATCAGGCAGAAGAGGCAGGCGAGGGAGCGGGAGAAGTCTAATGCCTGCCGCTGCGTAAGCAGCCCCAACAAAACCAAGGGAAGCTGTGAGAAACCCAACCGACTCAATGTCTTCTCACGTGTCAAACTCTTTGGCTCTAAGAAGAGACGCAGGAGGCGACCAGGTCTGTTTTCGGGATATTTCAACTTTATTAGGAGATACAATATTATAAAAATCATTTATACAATAGAAATATAGTATTCTAATTTATGTTCTAAGAAAATAAAAGGATCCTTCACTTTATCCAAAATGTGTTTAATAATTTACTTTCTAACTTCCAAACCAGGCTTTTTTTTCATTCAGAACACTAAACGTTTGTTTCCAACAATGTGATCACATTTAATAAGCCAAGACTCACCAATGTAAAAAAAAAAAAATATTCTAATTCTATAATTTTAGAGAACCAGCAGTCACCTCCAGTTCCCATCATTGATTGACAGGTTAAATACAGAATTACCTTTTTTTCTCTGTGAGTCTGTTAGTGTGGATGAAAAAGTTGTCATTATATTATTTTCTGTTTGTTCTTTTTAAGACAAAATTTACTACAAAGCTGAATGTTGTGCCTGTGGGTGTATTCAAACTCTTCATTGCATTTTAAAGTCATTTTATTATCATCAGTATAATGCCTGCCTGGCAGGATGAAGGTGCTGGGTTCCGATCTTAGCCTGGGGTGTTTTTGCACAGAGTTTGCAAGTTCTACCAAAGGATGTGCATGTTTACTGTAGCCCCCCACAGACTAATAGCATGCCAATCAGGTTGAATGGTCTCTCCTTAAGGAATGATTTTGTGCGTGCATGGCTGTTGTTATATTTGCCTTTATGCTGTCCTGTGGTGGACTAGTGACCTGTCCAGGGTGTACTTCATACTATCCCTTTTGTGAGCCTGCATAGACAAGAAAACTCTCTAACATTTGAAGATAATAGATTATCAGCCTTATACATCCGCTTATTCAACTATAAAGTAACATTAACATGTTTTTCTTAGAGATCAGCACTATACAACTAGAGACCCAAAGAGAACAGTGATTATTCCTAAATAAAATTGAGAAGATAAGACGTGAGGTGAGGTGTGGTTAAAAACAAAACCAAAACACAACCCCCCCAACAGGGACAGTAGACAGATAATGGAAGGCACTTAGCTCTAATTGGACATTCATGATGTAACGCAGCACCAACAAGAATACGTGCAGACTGACATTTTCTTTTGAAATTTCTTTTGATGTGACAGGAAAGTAAAAAAAAAAAAAATAAATAAATAAAAACACATTATACATAAACAGACGACAAAGACGACGAGTAAACATTGCTGGTATAAATTAATTACAACTTTGTTATCAAGAAGACTGCAGAATAATATACACAAGATATGATTTTACTTCTATTTGATATAATTCAATTTAGTTATCTTAATTTCAGCACAGTTCACAACTTTATCTTACTGTGCTTTTCAAGGAAGAGGTTTAACATCCTTTCCAATTACCCAGAAATTTTAGATTGAGAAAACTCATACCATTTAACTGTAATTATATAGACTGATAAGATGTAAATTAGTTTGACATTTTAAAATGGCTATTCTACAAGGCAAAGTGATTTGTTTGTGTGAGGTTTAATCCTCAGAAAATAGATATTTATTATTATTATTAATATTATTATTATGTCTTTGTACTATGTTCTTTCTCGGATAAAGTCTTTAAACAGCTGAGACATTGCATACTTTGATATTCACACATAGAATTAATGTTAATTTTGTTCATGCCATCATTGTCTTCTATCATTTTTTCAGTTTTATAGTGTGACTCCATTACATCTAATTCTTTGCTCAAAAGACCATTAAAGTTGAATAAAAAAATGAAAGATTATGTGTTTGGCCAGTTTGATTTTAGAATGCTCCTTAAATCAATGCATTTATATCTTTGGTTAAATGTACATTTTCCTATATCTTTACATTTATTTTAAAAATGACACCTCTAATGATAAGCCATAACCTGCCGTTTTAATGTTGTAAACAGTGTCAATAAAAAATGTGGAGTAAAAAAAACAACAACTGACATTTGGAAAAAGATTCTTTCCTCATCTCCGATAGCAGGACTATTACACCTCCATGGCCTGAGACATTTTTGCTCTGATTGTTCTTGTCTATCTGTGGTATTATTCCTTTCTAGTCTTGCCTCAGGGGCTCCTTTTTAGCCCTTTCAGTTTTCTTATATCATTAACGAATACCTGCCAGTAGCCATTGTTTCCATAACTATAACAACCAGAATCCAGCTAGTTCTTTAAAATTTACCCCTTTAAAACCTTATATCAGTGTAGAAAAAAACAAAAACAAAACAACATTACAGACTGTGGAAGTCTTTAAAGACTTTTTAAGTCTTTGAATGCCTTTGATTCCTTTATTCACAAATATCATTTTAGTAACTTCTGTTTGCATTGTTGCAGCTGTCATTTTGGGGTTTTGAAATCCCTATTGATATCAATCAAAATCATGAAGTTTTTCATTTTCATCCTCTTCACTTTAGACGTATTTGACAGAAATTGCTTTAACTGGCCTTTGTGACATTTTTATTAATGCTCAACTTTAGAGCTGCAAAATGTATTGAATCAAAATCATCTTGGTAATATCAGCATGGATCAATATCACTATTGCAAATAAGTGGTTGATTGCAATTTTTGATGGGCTGATAAAGTGTAAGACATCTACACATTGCAAGACAATAATACATTAGTTTGTTTAATGGATTCTCACTGCCCTTTTAGCTCACACTTGATGGAGAGGTTGAAGTGATTAAGATGTTGTGGCTTTCTAATTCATTAGAAATAGAAATCAAATGTGGATAATGTTCAAGTTCATCATTATTGCCAATATTTAGAATTAATGTCGCAACTGCATGTTTAGCAAATATTGTGCAACACTAATGAGCATTTTGTTCTTTTTTCCTTGCTTCCCATCTGCTTTCACAGAGCCCCAGCTAAAGGGGATTGTTACGAAGCTGTACAGTCGACAAGGCTTCCACCTGCAGCTGCAGGCAGATGGAACCATTGATGGAACAAAAGAGGAGGACAGTGGTTACAGTAAGTTCCTACATTTTTGTCCTACAGATACATTTTGCGCTTGGTGTGTCAGGGTGAAAATAGGATCTAGACAAAACCTTACCTTATACGTACACTGTATGTGAATTCTTTAAAGACCAATTAGTTGGCCAGTATTCCCTTGACTGACTCTGATTAGTGGTTTGGTAAAATCTGATTTTACATCTATGGTGATATTCCTTTGAACAACACTGTTTAACATTTGGCCACTAGGGGCGCTACACCGGCCTCCCAGGTTTAGCACCCCAGAAAGCAATTGGTTACACTACACTGTCTACACTGTCCCAAAATAAAAGCCCTCCATGTTTGTAATCTGCTATCAGACCACTTTGGACCAAAAGAGTGAGAAGTCATGGAGTCACTTGTAAAGACAAGACATTCATCACTCCATATTAAACCAATATTAAGTAGCGTTTCCACCTTCATAAAATATTTTCCGAAGTTTGTGATTATACGTCGACTTGCAACTAGTTGAATGATACCTCTATAATGGCCAATGGGGGTCTGTATCACTTTCACCAGTGCTTAGCAACTTTGAGGAGGGTGGCAATAACTGCCCAAGACAAAGGAACTAAAAATTTTTACACTGCTTTACGGGATACGGCAATTCCACCTTTCCCCATTTGTTATAAAGACAGAAGTCAAAGCAACCAAATTTTCCTGGGAGACTGTATATTCATTTAAACTTTGCAGGGTTTATATTCAGGCAATGCGGTCCCTTCTTACAGGGATCTATATGTGTGTTTAATGTATAATGATCAAACATACATTTTTTTATCTGTTTCAAGGCTCTAGTCTCATCCTCACATCAGTTACTGATGACTCGAGTGAGGTGGAGAGGAGTTGGAATACAGTACAAAACCAAAGTTAAAGGTTTCTTATTTTCAACATTGGCATATGACATTGTTTTGCCACAGTTAGCTTCATTACCTCATCGCTATTCATCTCTCAAACAGCCACTGAAATGTAGATCAATCCAACTGCAGGTGCAGGGCGTGCATACATAGACACTAGGTGGTGCTAAAGCACCAGGAAGTTTGCCCTTTATCAAAGAAAATGCCCTTTTAAAACTCGTTTTTTTTTTTTATTATTATTAATATTAATAAGATTTTACTGAGGTCGGTTTTGAAATGATCTTTTGAAAACCTGAGCCATTAAAAACGACTGAAACAATGCCCCGAAATGAGCCACCTCCTTGCGCACACCCGACCAGCCTCTCCCTCTTCCTTTGTCACGTGACCTCGCGCGGTCGCCCGCAGATGCGCAGCCAGATGCGCAGCATCATAGCAGTTCAGTAGGCGTCTTCAGATAGCAGG